ATATGAAGTTACATGGAAAGCAGGCCCAGCCACTGGATGGCGTCGTCCGTGACCTGGGGCCTGCGCGGAAAGGGGGAGGGGAGGGGCTTTTCCCTCCTTGGGGTGGATGCCCTTCATGAAGTTGAGGAGGAGGAGGAGAGGAGGGAGGAGGAGGAGGAGGAGGAGGAGGAGGAGGAGGAGGAGGAGGAGGAGGAGGAGGAGGAGGAGGAGGAGGAGGAGGCACTCTGGGGCCGCACCTCGCCAGACCTCGGCAGAGGTGAACCCGCGCCCGCGATGGACGGCGGGGTGCCCCGCATGGCGCGCTCCCCGCCGCGCGAGGTCGCGGCCTCCATCGCCCCAGGGTCGGCCTCTCGGAGGCCGATGGGGCCTCCGGGGGCCTCCGGCAATACGAGCGCGCTTGCGAGGCTCGAAGCGCGGCTGACCTCGGGCCCTCTCCAGGTTATTTTATGGTTGCCGAGCGAGGCGGAGGGGGAGGAGCAGGGGTCGAGGCGAGGTCCGAAGGAGAAGAAGGAGACAGATCCCAATAGGACTCCTCGGGGCTGCGCTGGGGGTCGGCCCGACGACGCGCCACGGCAGCCTCGGCAGAGGAGGGGGAGGTCCAGGGAGGGAGTCAGAGCAGTGGTCGACGAGATGGGTGGGGTGACCCGAGTCTTCAGCGCCCTGTGAGACCGCTCCTCCTGCTTATCGACGTCCTCCGGACGACGACGGGACGCGCTCCCCGCTCCCACCGTTTCGTCGCTCTCCGGCCCAGGGGCCGCCTGCGGCCTTGGCCTGGACGGCGCGCTTGGCTCATCAAGGGCCGATCGCTCCAGGCCACGGGGCCTGGAGACCTCGGAGGTCCCCGGAGCCTGGAGACGGGGGTCCATGCAAGCGGGGGTCAGCCCGAGTGCCCGATCTTGCAGGATCCTGCAGGGCAAGGGTCGCATTGACCCGGGTTTGGGTGCAGGATCCTGCAGGATCTTGCAGGTTCCGTCGCATTGACCCGGGTTTGGGTGCAGGATCCTGCAGGATCTTGCAAGGCCTGACTGACCCGGGTCTGGACTGACCCGGGTCAGCAGATCCCCGATGCGCCATTTTGCGGGCCGGAGCGATCTGTGAGGGTCCCGGGGCCCGCCATGCATGGGGCGAACACGCCCCGTGTGAAAAAGTTGCAGCGCCAGGATCTCAGGGCAGGGAGGGCAGAAGACCAGGATCCCCGAAGGTCTCCTGGTCCTCCTCCCGAGAGCGCCTCCGCGGCCCCCCCCCGGACCCCCGGATCCCAGGGGGCTCGAGCCGCGCCGGGCTCCGCCCGGCCGCGGCCCCGACGGAGGCGCGCCTTGTCCCCGCCGGGGGCGCGAGCGGGCCGAGGACCGCGAGCGCATCGCCGGCCACGCTGGCCCGGGGCCGGCCGGCGCTCGCTCCTGCCCGCGCTCGGGCCCGGCGGGCCAGGCGGGCCCTCGCCGCCGCGTGCGCCGCCGCCCGCGCCCTGCTGGCGGGCCGCTCGGCCCGCCGGTGCCCCGGGGTCGGCGCCCGGATCCGCGGCGCGGGCCTCCAGCCGCGCCCGCCTGGTTCCGAGCCAGGCGGCCACCGAGCTCGGCGTGCCGCCTGTGCACGTCGTCTGGCGCGCCGTGGATCGGATCGCCACGTGCCCCTCTTGGCGGCCATGTCGGCGCAGCCGTTGCCGATCTCGTCGGTCGACTCCCCCTGGCTCCAAGAACGTCTGATGGCCCTTGGCCCAGCTGATGCGGAGGTCCGCGCGGAGGCCGCCCTGTTCCTCCAAGGAGGAGGGAGGAGGAGGAGGAGGATTAGGCGGACGAGGAAGTGAGGCCATAGGTCTCTTGGATGCCTCGTGTTGGGAGGCAGCCCTGGAGGGTTTCTCCGAAGGGTTTAGGTGACCCGTCCTCCTCGTCCTCCTCTTCCTCCTCCTCCTCCTCCTCCTCCTCCCTCCTCCTCCTTCCTCGTCGTCCTCCTCCTCCTCCTCCTCCTCCTCCTCCTCAAGTCGCCTACGGCCCCGGGGGAAACCGTGCAGGCAGCCCCCAGTCCGAACGAGCTCTGGGGGCTGCCCGCCCCCCGGCCCCTGCCGCGGCCGTGCTCGAGCCAGGATCCCAGTGTCTGGCCTGGCCCGCCTCGGGATGTCTCCTGGTCTGCTGCAATATCTGTGTCCCGCTTTTGCATGACACAGAGGACACGGAGGAGGGAGGAGGAGGAGGAGGAGGAGGAGGAGGAGGAGGAGGAGGAGGAGGAGGATCAGCAGGAGGATGCAGAAGATTCTGATGCTGACGGTGATGATGCTGACGATGCTGCTGATGATGATGAAGATGATGATGCTGATGATGGTGGTGGTGTTCGTGATGACGATGACGATGATGATGATGATGACGATGAAGATTATTATGATGATGATAAGGATGATGATGATGATGATGATGATGATGATGATGATGATGATGATGATGATGATGATCATTGTCATGATAATGGTCATGGTGGTGGTGGTCATGATGCTGATGCTGATGATGCT